AATGCTCCCTGGTACTGTTCCGCCGACCGTGAAAATGTATTTGTCCAAATGAAGTCGATGCTGAGTTCAGATCTGTTGCTTACGGATTATGATCCGATACTGGCGATCGTCGTTGCCACAGACGCTTCAAATCATGGTGTCGATGACGTCATTTGATACAAAAAGGCGATCATGCGCGCATCCTGAAGTTTAACGTCTGCTGAGAAAATTCTGACCAAATTGAAAAGGTAATATCAGACATTATCTTTGCCATTATAATGTTCCGCAAGCTGCAGTGTCGTCAATTCGCGCAGTTGGCCTACTATAAACCATTACGGTCAATCTTAATTTCGAAGGGGAGCATCCCAGTTTATTCATCCAGCCGACTTCAACGATGGGCAATCATTCTTCTTGATTACGATTTTGGTATCCGCTACTGTCGTACTACCGATATTGTCCAAGCTGACGCCCTTTACCGCCTCATGTGCAGTTATCAGATACCCGAAGAAGGCACCGTGATTGCTGCCATTTCGATTGAGGACGATGTGCCCCGTCAGCTTTCAGACACTTTACGGGGCATACCTGTGACTGCCGTCGACATCCGGCGTTCTATAGAACAGGATCTTGTTCTCCATCAAACTATCACCTATGTGCAACTGAGTTAGCCAACTACTGTTCTCACTGGCAATTTTCATCAGCACTTCTTTCGTCAAGCATCGGTGTCTGTGGTTGATTTCTGTCTCATGTTTGCCGACCGTGTTGTGATTCCTCCTTCTCTTCGACCTGTCGTACTACGCCAGTTTCATGCTGCTCATCCTGGCACTAGTCGAATGAACGCAATCGCTCGCAGTTCTGCCTGCATGCCGGGTATTGACAGCGACACCAACGATCTCGTTCGGCGCTGTTTTCGTGGTCAAAAAGCTGCCGAAATTTCCGCTCGTCAACCGCCAGTACCAGGGCAAACACTGGATAGGTTTTGGTCACGTGTGCACATCGATTTCGTTGGCCCACTTAATGGAGTCACTTACTTAGCCGTGGTCGACGCCTGCCCAAAGGGACCCGGGGTTGTACCGCTGAATCTGGCAACCACCTCTGCTACTTTTGCCTTCCTACGGCGCATCTTCTGCCAAAATGGCCTCCCGGATGTTTTGGTGTCGGATAATGGCTTCTTATTTACCTCGTTGACTTTGAGGCTTTCTTTCACCAACACTGCATCCAAAATCTTCGTTCCCTGCCCTACCAACCCCATCGAACGGTCAAATGGAAGGTTTCGTTGACAACTTCAAACAAGCCCGTTTGAAAGCTCGTGGGGCGGGGACTACAGACGAGATACCCCAGGCGTTTCTGCTTTCCTACAGAGCCACCCCTAACCCGGCGTGCCCTGGTGGTGTCTCCCTACCGAAGCCTTGATG